GCTGGTGGAGGGGCGAGCGGAGGCTTGGAAGAGGACGGAGGAGAAGCGCAAAGAGTCAGAGTCTCCATCTGCTAGAACCTCTAATCTGGTGAGGGTCCCGGGCCGGGCAGAGCGCTGGGAGAGAGGGAGGAGGCCGGGGGGCGTGTCTGGGATCGGGCTGAGAGATGAATGGGCCGGGGATGAATGGAGGGAGGCAGCGGCGGCCAGGAGTCTGTTAGGAGTAAGCGTCCTAGTGGGGGGCGCGTTGACCGAGACGAGGTGATTGCTGTCCCCAAGAGGTATGGGACGAGGCCGGGCTCGGATCTTCGGGGTTGTCGGAGCCGTTGTCGGTATGAGCGAACAGGCGGAGAGGAGAATTAAGAGGGTAAAAGTGGGGAAGGGCAGGTCTGAGGTTGAGGTGCGTTTTTTTGTCTTTTTTGTTTTTCTTGGGGGGTGGCAACTTTGGGAGTTGATGGAAGACTAGGGGACGGGGAAGGTGAGGAGGATACACGGTGGGGCGGGAGACGGTTGACAAAGGGACTGAGTGATCATTTAAGTTAGATTGAGGCTACTGAAAGGGAAGATCGCTTCAGGTATGGGAAGTTGGGTTTTAGTGGGTAATGGGGTGGTGGAAAGCGGATTTCATTTAGAGATTCAGTTGATGCGGGCAGGTCGATAGGACTGGATCGGGGCGAGGGATACCGCGGGCTCGTGTAAGTGGGTTCGGTTCAAAGAGATTGAAAGGTGTTACTTGGGACCGTGTGGTGGGGTTCTGTAACTGACAGGTTGGGGATGTGGAGGAGACGGTATAATGGGGTTAGGATAAAGTGGCGAGCTGACTTCACTGTACTGGGAGAGGTTTTGTTTGACTAGTTAAGAGTGGTGAAACATTTATGTAGTGGGGTATGGCTGGAAATCCTGCACGTGTGTCTCCGTGTCTTGGGAGTTGATAGACCTTGTTAAAATGAAATTGAACCCTCAAAACAGATGCGAATGGTATGGCTAGTCCTTTAGAGTTACGGTTGACTGAAGCAGTTATACCAATAATAGCCTTTAAAGTTGTGAAAATGTTCTGTACAATACTGATTGCATCCAATATTGGGAGGCATTGTTATCTATTTTTTCATCTCTAGTAAGTTGTAATACCAAGAGAACTTTTGAAGAGGTCTCAGTATATGACACAGAGCAGCAGGTGTCTTTTACACAGTCTCTATACTCTGGATTTACCAGTTTAAAAATTGTTTAAAACTCAACAGTGCAAAGGAAAGTTAAAGAATAGCTAAAAGGCACTAAAGCTGATTTTGAGCTCTAAAATACTTTATATATGATTTTTGGTATCATTTTGAATTTACCTTGGTTGCAAAATAGGAACTTGATTTTTTGATGTGAGTTTAAATTACAGAAGATTACTTGAACATTTTGTTCTCGGAATACATTCCTTATCTGGTAAGGATGTCTTGTGATGGTCTCATTCTGTTCTGGGTCAAGATGAATAGTTTATGGATTTTTAACTTTTCATGATTACTTTCTACAAACTTTACTGATATACATTCATTTATCTTGGAAATGTTGCAAAATTGAGAACATTCTTTCATTCTGCTTTGATGTAAATACAATGTTCATACTCTCTTAGATTAAAATGAATACTATTTACCTATTAAGTGGCAGCCTGGAAATGTTGCACTCACTCTGGCAGGCCAAGGTAGTGTCCCCATTTTGAGCTAGATGTTCCTGGAGTGGAAGAACATTCAAGTATTGAGGCTGGAAAGAATAAGCATTGTATATTTGGGGAGTGGAATGAGATAAGGCTAGAATCTTACATTTCGGTTAGGGTGAAGGGACTACTCTGAAGAGTTAGGAGCCCTTAACTCTTAAAGAAAGGAAATAACATAAGCAGATTTGTGGTGTTCATCTCACCACCTTTGCTTCTGAGCCTCCCCCACCCCCTAGTTTGGAATGCTCTCTCTCCATTTCCCTTTGAATTTGAATTTGAATTCAATAGCTATTTCTGAAACTCTTTCCTGCTCCCAACTTTTTTCCTTTTCTCAGCATCCTACACCAACCTAGGTTAGGTGCCCCTCTTTAGTGGGACCAACCACCTTGTACATATTTTTATTACTGTACTTCTGTTGGGAGACAAGCAGGAAAGTTTTCCTTTTTATACCTGAGAGAGAAAATAAAGCTCAGAAAATAAGACTTGTCCTAGTAAAGTAAGTGGTAGACCCTGGAGTTTTGACCTCTAGACCAATGTTGATCCTCATATCACAAGTCTACATTCATTGATATAATTATTAAGTAGTGTTTTAGGAGTTAAATTTCTGTAATGTGGACTTTAACTTTCTTCTGTAAAGTAGAGGGATTTCTTTTCATTAAGATGTCCTATCATTTAGCCAGCAAATGATAAAGGCAATGGTTGCAGTGAACCAGAATCAGAAGTAAAGAAAATAGTCATAAGGCCCTGACTGAATAGCTCAGTAGGTTAGAGCATTTTCCCCATATGCCAAGGTTGCAGGTTCAATCCCCTGTCAGGGCACATACAAGAATCAACCAATGAATGCATAAATAAGTGGAACAACAAATCGATGCTTCTCTGAGCCCTCTCTAAAAATCAATCAATACTTTAAAAAATTTTTAATAAAAAAGAAAGAAAATAGTCAAGTAAAAAAAAGAAAACATATTACTATCAGATTTCTAATCAGATAATTTACATAAAAGTAATGGAGGCCCAAAATTTTTGCATTGTATATGTTTGGGGGCGGGGGTTGTGTATAAAAAAATTCCTTCCTTTCTCAGTCTCCCATCATAGTATAAGTAGACCAGCTCTATTTGCAGATATACTTTATTGTGTCTGTTGGCTAAAAGCCAGAATACAACAGAAGGGTGGGTCTTTTCCATTTGGTTTGAAATCATAAAATTTACGGTGCTGTTAGGAGATATTTGATGACTGGAAAGGACATCTGTAAGGCATTCTTTCAGAAATTCTCTGGGCTTCAAAAGTAGAATCTGATGCCATTTTTTAATTGTTTTGATTGAGCTTGTCTTGAGATTGTTGGATTTGAAAACATGTTGAGATTAACTTACTATAGAAACGAGCCTTTAATGCCCCCCTTTTTTCAGGATTATATAATTTTTTCCTGAATTTTTTAAAATCCTCACCTGAGGATATGCTTCCATTGATTTTTATTGATTTTATATTTATTTTATACTTTTGTTGATTTCAGAGAGGAAGGGAGAGGGGGAGAGAGAGAGAATCATTTGATAGGCTGCTGACTCCTGCATACCCCCTACTGGGGATCGACCCCCCCCTCCCCCCCCACACACAACCTGGGCAGGTGCCCTTGACTCGAATCAAACCCGGGACCCTTCAGTTCCCAGACCAACACTCTATCAAGTAAGCCAAACCAGCTAGGGCATTTTTAGAGACAGAAGGGAGGGAGGGGTGTGGGGGGGGGGGCGAGAGAGAGAGAGAGAGAGGAGAGAAATAATAATAATTGATATGAAACATCAATCCATTGCCTCCCACAGGGGCCCCAACTGGGCATACAACCCGAAGCTTTTTGGTCTGTGGGATAACCTTTAAACCAACTGAGCTACACTGTATAGGATTAGTGAACTTTTGAAAATAGAAATGAAGCAACATTGTTTCCTGTGTTTTTGCCTTGTAACTTTTTACTGTGATAAAATCCACATAGTATAAAAGTTACCATTTAGAGCGTAGTCTGTGCCATTAAGTAACTTCATGATGTTGCATATCTAGTTCCAAACGTTTTTATCACTCCAAAAGCAAACCCTGTACCCATTAAGCAGTCGCTCCCTGATGCCGTTTTCTCCCAGTCCCAGGCAACCACTAATATGCTATCTCTATGGATTTGCCTATTCTGGATATTTTGTACAAATGAATCATATAATACATGGCTTTTTGTGTCTGGCTTCTTTCACTTTGCATGTTTTTGAGAGTGGCATATATCAATACATATATCATTACTTCATTACTTTTTATTGCCAAATAATATGCCATTGTATGGATATAACAGATTAATCCATTCATCAGTTGAAGGACATTTGAGTTGTTTCTACTATTCAGCTATTATGAATCATGTTTGCTATAAATATTTATGAACAATTTTTTGTGAACATATGTTTTCATTTCTCTTGGGTGGGATGGATTAAAGATTTTTTTGTTTATAAAGATCACTTTTTAAAAAAAAATATTTTATTGATTTTCCTACAGGGAGGAAGGGAGAGGGACAGAGCCAGAAACATCGATGAGAGAGAAACATTGATCAGCTGCCTCCTGCATACTCCTCACTGGGGACGCTCCTGCAACCAAGGTACATACCCCTGACCGGAATCGAACCTGGGACCCTTCAGTCCACAGGCCAATGCTCCATCCACTGAGCCAAACCGGCCAGGGCTCATTCCTTTTTTGTTGAATAATATTGTATTGTATGTGTATACTGCATTTTGCTTATTCATCAGTTCATAGGCATTTGGGGTCTTAACATCTTTGGACTTTTTTTGTTTGTTTCCAAGTATCTTAATTTCAAAGTTTTAAGTTGTTATTTGCATAAAATCATTAAAACATAGAAATATGTTCTTTTCTTTTTTTGGAAATACGTCATTTTCATTGGATTTTGTATATTTGATTAAAAACTATTATACTTATTTGTTTACTTGTGAATTTAAATATCATATATATATTTTAAAAATCTTCATTGTTGAAAGTATTACATATGTCCCCCTTTCCCCCCATTGACCTCTCCTAGCCTGCCCCCACCCCCTGCCCCAGGCCTTTACCACCCTACTGTCTGTGTCCATGGGTTATGCATGTATGAATACAAGTTCTTTGATTGATCTTTTCCCACCTATCCACCTTCCTCCACCTTCCCTCTGAGATTCTGCAGTCTGTTCCATGCTTCTGTGTCCCTGGATCTATTTTGTTCATCAGTTTATTTTGTTCATTGGATTCCATATATGAGTGAGATCATGTGACACGTCATTGACTGACTTATTTGACTTAGCATGATAGTCTGCAGGC